CCCCCCCGCCAGCTTCCTAGCCTGACACCAACCACTTCTTTTTTCAGTAAAGACAAGCCGAGTCCTTCCCATCCTTAGAGCCCTACATGGACACATAATTTGTGTTGGCACCTGTTGAAAGTGCGCCTGGGTAGCCACATGAACATCCATGGATAGTAGCACGTTTTGAAGGGCCCTAGATACGAAATACGTATCTGCACCCGCTTCCATGTCCACGCAAATGAGCTGTGGGTTTGCCCTCTGCCGATGCGGATAAAAACAGCTAGCCGAGGATTGGCATCCTCCTCCCCACAGCCTTTCCATTCCTCCGGAGGCATCTTCTGCGGATAAGGACAGGACTGAGTCCCCCCGCAGTCCTGCTCTGGAGGCAGCTCCCTCCCACCCAACTAAACCCCTCACCTCCAACCCAATTCATGCAGTTTCCTTGCCATTAGCTAGTCCCACTCCTTCAAATAAGGGCAAAATGTTGCCACTGCTTTTGGCCTAATCCCCACGCGGGCAGCTCTGTCCATTATCTTCCTGCCCTTTCTGTCCCACCCTGCCCCTGTAACCCAGCCCCCTATGCAGGAGACAGCCTTCTTCCCTGGCCCTGCTACCTCAGCTCCTGGTGAACAGCCCCCTCCTCATTCCCACTGCCCCCGCCATCCCGCTGCTGTTGGTACACCACCTCCTCCAACACAGCCTCACTTTGAAGCTTGCGGGGAGGAAGGCTCCCTGCTTTGGTGGGTTCTGGAGCTGGGTCTCTCCAAGTGCTTTCCAGGAGCTCTGACAGTGCTAACTTGGGCAGAGCTTCCTGCTGTCAGGTCTGGGGAATGCAGGCAAGTAGTGGAGAGCTGGCAGTAGGGTGTGTGAGGCTCTCTCCTGCAGCTGGGAGAGGAAGTCCCCCTCTTGGTAGGCATTCTCCATAGGGCACTGTGGGGCTTCTGCTGTTTAAAGGCCTGTAAACCAGACAAGTGCCTCAGCAATCAACTGGGTCGGGAGTGAGGGGTAGAGCGCTGCGGGGGAAGGAGCGCGCTTGCGTGAAACCCGGAGGGTTAACCGATGAGCCCAGGCTTGTTGGTTAACCGTTTGAATGAATACACGGCCACATCCCTGGTTTGCAGTGGCCCCTCTCCAGTTAGTTCAAGCAGGAGACTAGTAAAGAGGTTGCAATCTGGAGTTCAGAGCTGCATGCCTCTGTGTCTCTGCTAACCCAGAGTCGCTGCCTCGTGATGTTTCACTTGACTCTCTATCAAATACGCTGCAGGGGCACTCTCCAGAATAGCTTAGTGAGTGTTGATGCTGCCACATGCTGATAGTTCCAGGGATGTGATTCCTACTGTTTGCCCCTTATTCTGAACGGGGAAATAGACCAGATGGATTTAACGGCACTAACATCTCTTCTACAAAGAACGTCGTGTTCCAAGGGCAGTTCTCCTCTGGAGGAGGGGGTCACAGAGGGTCATTGAAAGATTAAAAATGGAGGTGCCCATCACCTAGGCCTTGTCCGTATGCAGCAAGGGCACCTTGTGTTAGTACGTCTCTGACAAGGATACTGCTCTTACCAAGATTGTCCTGGCCCATATAGCTATGATTTTGTGCTCATTGGCGTTTGCAAGAGGAGGGTTACTAGCCTTAGTGCCCAAACCAGATTCTGAGCTCTCCACCACCCTTTGCTCCCCTAAATTCGCCTTGAAGCTGACACAGGAATTGTTTCCTTGCTGTGTGGAGATGTGCCTGCCGCCAGTGTTCAGAGGAAGCTGCATTTTGGCGAGGCTGCGTGTGGCAAACGTATAGTTCTGGTCACTTCCGGATTGTTGGGGACATGTGCTGTTTGCACGGACTAAAGCAGAAATTAGCTTGTTGGATCTGTCTAGTTTTTCATTGCAGCTGCATGGGCACAAACCTGTTTGACCCTTTGCGCTGTGCGGAGTGTCTTGTGATTAGCAACAGGGGTGTTACTTGGCCCTACTCACTGGATTTTCTCTGCAGGGACCACCTGACTCCAACTCGCTTTGTGCTGACACCTCGCCGTCGGTATCCAATCCAGCAGGCCCAGTACGCTTCCCTGGGGACCTTGCCCACAGTGTGTCTCGACGGCTATCAGAGGAAAAGCGTGCTGTCTGCTCGCAACTCCCACATGGTGCACAGCCCGGTGACCGTGAAGATCGCACGGCCAGACAGCAACCTGTCCCGCTCTCCGCTGTGAGTACAGCTTAATCAGAGGCCCTTCAGCATGCCACAGCATACGTGGTACCCGCCTGCAGCCAGTGCTCACAAACACACCTCTGTCTTCTCACAGAGTGTTGTGCAGAGTAGTGTCTCTTGCGGAGGCTGGGTGCACTTGTGTGTCACTTCGCGCTGCGTGGAGCCCTGTCAGACCTCCCCTTCCTTAGCAGCAGGTGGAGAGTAGCCTGCTTGGGTTCTTCACTCTGCCTTTTGATCTCCTGCGGCACTCTACCCGGAGGGGAGCTCATGGCCCTGGAGGGGCCTGTTAACCCCCATGTCCAGCATCGCTTTCATGCCATGGAAAGGATTGTGAGGTCACAAGCTAGTCCTGAAGCTTCATCGGAGATGCTGCCCAGATTATTTCTCTTCCTTGGGGGAGAGGGAGGGAGAGGGAGAGGGAGAGGGCATCTTCATCTGGGCTGGGCTGTTGGGGCTGGGGGCACAGGTGGACTCAGCACATGCAGCACCGCTAATGGAGAGTAGGCGGGTGCCTGTGTCCCTTAACTCATGCCTTCATGTTGCAGCTTGGAGCAGCTGAGCTTGCCAGTGGCCTTGTCGTGCAGTAGCACCCTGGACCCCTGTGCGAAGGAGACCGTGCTGAGTGCACTCAAGGACAGCAGGAAGAGGGCTGTGGAGGAGGAGCAGGATCAGAGTTTCCCCAGTGGTCAGGAGAGCAAAAGGAGGTAATAAGCTAGAGGGCCAGGGTGTGTCTGCTGTGAACATGGGCAGGGCTCGACAAATCCGTTTATCTACTTGCCCGTGGCGAGTAGATGTCAGCCGGTCACCCTGTTCGCCTGCGGTGCGCGCATGCGTGGTGTGGGGCTGGCGCATGCGTGGTGTGGGGCTGGCGCATGCGTGGTGCGGGGCTGGCAAGTGGATTTCGCCGCCGTTTGGCAAGCCCTGAACACGGGAGCCTTTCCAGTGTGGCCAGTAGCCGGAAACAGAACTTGGTCAGCTGCTCAGGTGCTCACATGGAAGTTAATAAACTAGACTTAAACATAACCACCCTTCCCCCTCATTCTCTTCACCACATCTCGCTTGCATATTATTTTTATCATAAACTAGCCAGTTCTCTAACCTCAGCCTTTAGAGAGAAATGAGAGCAGCCAGATGGGGTCAGGCTAAAGGTCCATGCATGCCACGGTCCTGTCTGCTTACAGTGGCCAATGCAGGTGCCCTGGAGGGAGTGAACAGAACAGGCAATCATTGAGGAAGGAGCAATCCATTTTTCACACACAGTGCCTGTGTCTAGACTGGCCACTTTTTCCAGAAAAGCGTCAAACTTGCCAGCTGTCTACACTGGCCCTTTTGCACAAAAGTTTTTCGGAAAAAGACTTTTGCCCGAACGGGAGCAGCATAGTATTTCCGCAAAAGCACTGACAATCTTACATGAGCTCGTCAGCACTTTTGTGGAAATTCAAGCAGCCAGTGTAGACAGCAGATATTTGTTTTCCGCAAAAAAGCCCTGATGGCCATTTTTGTGATCGGGGCTTTTTTGCGGAAAAGTGTCCTGCCAATCTAGACGCGCTTTTCTGAAAATGCTTTTAATGGAAAACTTTTCCGTTAAAAGCTTTTCCGGAAAATCATGCCAGTCTACACGTAGCCAGTGGGAAGCAGCTGTCTAGGGAGGAGTCCTGCAGAAATGGATCATAGAACCATAGAATACTAGGACTGGAAGGGACCTCGAGAGGTCATCTTGTCCAATCCCCTGCCCTCACGGCAGGTCCAAGCACTGTCTAGACCATCCCTGATAGACATATATCTAACCTGCTCTTAAATATCTCCAGACATGGAGATTCCACAACCTCCCTAGACAATTTATTCCAGTGTTTGACCACCCTGACAGGTAGGAAGTTTTTCCCAATGTCCAACCTAAAACCTCCCTTGCTGCAGTTTAAGCCCATTGCTTCTTGTTCTATCCTCAGAGGCCAGGAAGAACAATTTTTCTCCCTCCTCCTTGTGACACCCTTTAAGATACCTGAAAACTTCTCTCATGTCCCCTCTCAATCTTCTCTTTTCCAAACTAAACAAGCTCAATTCTTTCAGTCTTCCTTAAGAGGTCATGTTCTCTAGACCTTTCCTCATTCTTGTTGCTCTTCTCTGAACCCTCTCCAATTTTTCCACATCTTTCTTGAAATGTGGTGTCCAGAACTGGACACAATACTCCCAACTGAGGCCTAATCAGCACAGAGTAGAGCGGAAGAATGACTTCTTGTGTCTTGCTCACAACACACCTGTTAATGCATCCGAGAATCATGTTTGCTTTTTTTGCAACAGTGTCACACTGTTGACTCATATTTAGCTTGTGGTCCACTATAACCCCATGATCCCTTTCTGCAGGACTCCTTCCTAGGCAGTCGCTTCTCATTCTGCATGTGTGAAACGGATTGTTCCTTCCTAAGTGGAGCACTTTGCATTTGTCCTTATTAAATTTCATCCTGTTTACCTCAGACCACTTCTCCAATTTGTCCAGATCATTTTGAATTAGGACCCTACCCTCCAGAGCAGTCGCAACCCCTCCCAGCTTGGTATCATCTGCAAACTTAATAAGCGTACACTCTATGCCAGTATCTAAATCATTGATGAAGATATTGAACAGAACCGGTCCTAAAACAGTCCCCTGTGGAACCCCACTTGTTATACCTTTCCAGGGGGATTGTTAACTGTTAATAACTACTCTCTGAGAACAGTTATCCAGCCAGTTTATGCACCCTGTCTAAGTTGTATTTGTATTTGTCTAGTTTATTGATAAGAATATCATGCAAGACCGTATCAAACGCCTTACTAAAGTCTAGGTATACCATGTCCACCGCTTCTCCCCTATCCACAAGACTCGTTATCCTATCAAAGAAAGTGATCAGATTGGTTTGACATGATTTGTTCTTTACAAATTCATGCTGGCTGTTCCTTGTCACCTTATTATCTTCCAAGTGTTTGCAGGTGGATTCCTTAATTACTTGCTCCATCTGGGGGTTAAATGGGTTTTTTCTCCTCAGTCGGGGGCCAGGTCAGTGAGGGTTTGTGGGTTTTTTGTTTCTCACTTGTGTGACACCCCCCCCACCCCCAGCTGATTTTTTCCCATGCATCAGTGGTCCCTAATCCAAAACCAGTTTCCCCACCCCGGTCTAGGTGGTGCGTGTTCCTGCGATGGGGGCAGGGGACTGGACTGGATGATCTCTCCAAGTGCCTTCCAGTTCTAGAATTCTGTGATTCTAAGTGATCCATTCCCTGTGTCTCTTTCCCAGCCCCTGACAAACAGGCCAGGGACCCCATCCTGGCCAACAGCCATCGATGGACCTAACCTCCATAAATCTATCTAGCTCTGTTTGAACCCTATTCTAATCCTGGTCTTCAATTGACCGTGCTGTGTGAAGAAATACTGCCTTTGGTTTGTTTTAAAGCTGCTAGCTATTGACTTCTTTTGGTGACCCCTAGTTCTTGGGGTACATGTGTCTTCAATTTCTCGTGTAAAACAAAACACAGCAATTTAAAAGATCCATTGAGACCTCCTTCATAACTCTTTCAATAAAAGGAACACAAATTTTTCCTTCAAGAAATGGTGAAAAAAATGCTTCCCAGTTCCCATTCCAGTGTCTTTCCCCAGGATTTTAGGAAGGAGTGGGATGCAGATCAGTGGATGCCGTTCTCTTTCTGGGGGAGTCCTCTTGCACCTGCTTAGCACTGTTGTGCTGTCCTCTTTTCTGCCTGTCCCTTTCTGTATGTGACGGTTGAATTGGTCTGTTGCTCCCTGTGTCTGCCCCTTGCTTGCCAGGAGCCCGCATGCTGCTTGTGGTGGGGAAATCCACTAGGGCTGGATTAGATGCGCTTGCAAGTTAATTGAGTGCTAGGGAGTCAGAGAGGAGACACTTGGGCTGACGCGATGCTGAGTCTGTCGTCCTGTCTGCTGCTGCTGGGCCCGCTGTTAGATGTCCGTTTGAGAGCCCAGATGAGCCGCGTTCAGGGAGCAACCAGCTGCGTTCCCCACTGCTGCAGCGCGCTTCCACTGGGTGCTGGGGTGGCTCATGCAGTTGTCTTCTCCCGTTGCTCTTTGTACTTCCTGGACGAGTAGATGCCTGGGCCACCTCCCACGCTCTGGGTGGGGTGGGACATGGGGGATAACTTCAGTGCTACAGAGAACAGTACAGGGTCAGCATGGATGTGGACACTCGGTTCTCCTTTCTGACACTGCCTCCCAATCCCCACTGGTGTCGAGTGCCCGGCCGCGTCACGCTCACGGCCTCCCCCAATCCCCACTGGGGTTGAGTGCCCGGCCGTGTCACGCTCACCGCCTCCCCCAATCCCCACTGGTGTCGAGTGCCCGGCCGCGTCACGCTCACGGCCTCCCCCAATCCCCACTGGGGTTGAGTGCCCGGCCGTGTCACGCTCACCGCCTCCCCCAATCCCCACTGGTGTCGAGTGCCCGGCCGCGTCACGCTCACGGCCTCCCCCAATCCCCACTGGGGTTGAGTGCCCGGCCGTGTCACGCTCACCGCCTCCCCCAATCCCCACTGGTGTCGAGTGCCCGGCCGCGTCACGCTCACGGCCTCCCCCAATCCCCACTGGGGTTGAGTGCCCGGCCGTGTCACGCTCACCGCCTCCCCCAATCCCCACTGGTGTCGAGTGCCCGGCCGCGTCACGCTCACGGCCTCCCCCAATCCCCACTGGGGTTGAGTGCCCGGCCGTGTCACGCTCACCGCCTCCCCCAATCCCCACTGGTGTCGAGTGCCCGGCCGCGTCACGCTCACGGCCTCCCCCAATCCCCACTGGGGTTGAGTGCCCGGCCGTGTCACGCTCACCGCCTCCCCCAATCCCCACTGGTGTCGAGTGCCCGGCCGCGTCACGCTCACGGCCTCCCCCAATCCCCACTGGGGTTGAGTGCCCGGCCGTGTCACGCTCACCGCCTCCCCCAATCCCCACTGGTGTCGAGTGCCCGGCCGCGTCACGCTCACGGCCTCCCCCAATCCCCACTGGGGTTGAGTGCCCGGCCGTGTCACGCTCACCGCCTCCCCCAATCCCCACTGGTGTCGAGTGCCCGGCCGCGTCACGCTCACGGCCTCCCCCAATCCCCACTGGGGTTGAGTGCCCGGCCGTGTCACGCTCACCGCCTCCCCCAATCCCCACTGGTGTCGAGTGCCCGGCCGCGTCACGCTCACGGCCTCCCCCAATCCCCACTGGGGTTGAGTGCCCGGCCGTGTCACGCTCACCGCCTCCCCCAATCCCCACTGGTGTCGAGTGCCCGGCCGCGTCACGCTCACGGCCTCCCCCAATCCCCACTGGGGTTGAGTGCCCGGCCGTGTCACGCTCACCGCCTCCCCCAATCCCCACTGGTGTCGAGTGCCCGGCCGCGTCACGCTCACGGCCTCCCCCAATCCCCACTGGGGTTGAGTGCCCGGCCGTGTCACGCTCACCGCCTCCCCCAATCCCCACTGGTGTCGAGTGCCCGGCCGCGTCACGCTCACGGCCTCCCCCAATCCCCACTGGGGTTGAGTGCCCGGCCGTGTCACGCTCACCGCCTCCCCCAATCCCCACTGGTGTCGAGTGCCCGGCCGCGTCACGCTCACCGCCTCCCCCAATCCCCACTGGTGTCGAGTGCCCGGCCGCGTCACGCTCACCGCCTCCCCCAATCCCCACTGGTGTCGAGTGCCCGGCCGTGTGAACAGGTTCGGTAGGCAGCCAGGCTCACTGTTGTGACTTGTGTTGTGGGCCAAACAGCGCTTGTGTCAGTTATGTCAGCTTAGCACCAACATCCCAGAGGCAGCTTTGTGCTGCCAGCTGGCATATGAGCAGCCTCCAGGGCATGTCTGCGCTAGTGGAAGTTCGGCCGGTTCTTAAGGGAAGCAGGTGGGAGCAGTTGCTCCTGTCGGCGTCCCGCTGTGTGGACAGTACAGAAATGCTATTACTCTCATTAACATAGCTGGTTTATTAGGTGATGAGCTTTCGTGGGCCAGACCCACTTCCTCAGATCAAATAGTGGAAGAAAATTGTCACAACCATATATCACAACCAATTTTCACCTCTAATATCATTAGCTCGCAGACATTTACCTCCCCCCCTAATCCCACTTCTGTTCTGAAATTTGATTTGTCCTTTTCATATGTGTTCACTTTTTTTAAATTGTATCCTTTGGTATATATGGTTGAGACAATTTTCTTCCACTATTTGATCTGAGGAAGTGGGTCTGGCCCACGAAAGCTCATCACCTAATAAACCATCTTGTTAGTCTTTAAAGTGCTACATAGTCCTGTTTTTTGTTTCAGCTACACCAGACTAACACGGCTACATTTCTATCACTAACATAGCTGGAGTTGTGTGTCTTATTTTGACCTTCCACTGTAGTGGAGAGCAGGCCCTAGTGTGGCTAGCACTTGAGACAAATGCACTCAAGCTCCGCAGTAGAGCTAACAATTCAGTAGAGATGACAATTCTGTTTCCAAGCAACTTCCAAGGTTTTGAAATTTGTTTTCATTCCACGTTGGAACAAAAACTAAAAATGAAAGCAGGGTTCTGCCAGTGTGTGACTGTCCGATGAAAGAGTGGGCAAGGTTTGTCTGCTCATACGTCTGCACTAGGTGGGGGTACCGCAGTTCTGGGTTCCAGAGAGCGTTTTCCACTGCAGAGTGCTGGATTGTGCTGGTCCGTCTGCGCTCTGAGAATTGCCTTGTCTCTCTTTTGCAGGCGCCATGACAGCAGTGGCAGTGGGCAGTCTGCATTTGAGCCCCTGGTCGCCAATGGAGCCCCAGCATCTCTGGTTCCCAAGTAAGTGGCTGTCAACCTGGGAAGGGGCTGGCCAGTCAAGTGGAGGCCAGAGGGACCTGGCTTGAGAAGAGGCACCCTGGAATGAGGATGGAGGCATGTAATTAGAACTAGGCCAAACTTGTTTTTGATGAATAGTAAATTAATTGAAAAACACTTTTCAGGGCACCAAAATCGTGTGAGAATTCAAGTTAAATTCAGTGAATAGTTTCAGCCTGGAAAAATGGAAAATTCTGAAACCCTAAAGGTGTTTTTAAAAAATAGTTATCTCCCTACACAGAACACCAAGTGCGAAACACCTGAGAACAAAACGTTTTGTGCAAAATCAGATACAAAAAACCAAGTGAGCTGATACTCTTGTGTTTCCTCATCAACACTAAAAAAGCTTTGGCTCAAGTCAGAACAAACTTTTTTTTGGTTCAGCTCCCAATCTGAAAACTCAACGACTTTCTTAGCTCCAGATCTGACAGTCTCTCCCTTTTCACTAGGCCAGGCACATTGAAAAGGGCGCTCGCTTCCCAGTGCCTAGATGATTGCTTGAGCAAGAGATCGCGCACTTCTTCCATCAGCTCCATGAACAACATACATGCTGGTGGGATTCCCAGCTCCATCCGCAATGCTATCGCCAGCTCCTACAGCTCCACCCGGGGACTGTCGAAGGTAGGATGCAGCATTTCCAGTAAAGCACCTGGAATTGACGGGGAGACAGCGGTTTGGGGTGGCGTGGCCCTACGAGGGGAAGGCAGCATTGCCAGTTGCTTGGCAATAAACAAGTAATTTCTGACCAGCTTCATTCAGCACAAATATCTTCAGCAAAACTTCTCAGGCAAAATGTAAACCGTCGCCACTGCCTGTCCTCAGCGTGCGCCCCGGGAGACAGTGCTGTGCTATCCTCCAGCATGGACTGATGCCAAGGGGTAGCAGGGAACTGAGCCTCCTCCAACCGACCAGAACAGATACTTAGTTTCAGTTGCTTGGTGCTCAGTTTGGATTGTTCTAGGTAAAACCGAACATAAAATCAGAACCATTCTCCTGTCCTGCCACCTCCTTTCAGGCTGCATTTGGCCAGTGTGCGAGTCCAGCATTTTCAACTTTGAGCTAGGTTCTTAGGCAGCTGCTAGGCAACAAAACATGCTGCTGAAATGGCTCCTTTCTCCTCAGACAGGACTAAAATTGCTGATGCAGCATAAGAGCAGATCACTGAACGTTACTAGCTAGCAGCCTGTCCTTGCGTGTGCTTAACTGCCACTCTTCTGCCATCTTCCTCTTGGACCTCCTTATCTCCTGAGCCAGAGGGCACCCTGGTTAGGTGCTTTAGGGCATCAAACCTGCTTCACCTTTCTAAAATTGATCCAGGGAAAACCCCACCTGGAGTGTTGCATGCAGTTCTGATTGCCCCATGCTAAAAAATAGATTTGAGAGGGGCCCAGAGAAGGGCAACAGAAATGATCAGGGGTATGAATCAGCTTCTATCTGAGGAGAGAGTGAAAAGCCTGGGGCTCTTCAGCTTGGAAAAGATGGTGTGTAAGGGGGTCTGACACAGTGAATAGTGTGGCAGGAGGGGAGAAGGAAGTGTAATGTACCTGTTCCCGTTACACAAGCACCACGGCTCGCCCAATAGGCAGCAGGTTTAAAACGAACAGAAATCTTTCTTCACGCAACGCACAGTCAGTGTGTGAAGGCCAAAGCAATGGCTGGATCCAGAAAGGAATTAGGTAAGTTCCTGGCGGATGGGTCTGTGGAGGCTGTAAGCGGATGGCCGGGTGGAACCCCATGCTGCCCGTGTTCGTAGGCTCCATTTGCCAGAAGCAGCAGCGGATGAATCGCGTGCTAATTGCTGTGCGCTGCCCAGTCCCTCTCCTGAGTTCGGCGCTGGCCTCTGTGGGAAGACAGGCTAGCAGGACCATTGCTCCGGCTCCCTCTGGCCATTCCTGTGGGAAGGGCTCCTGGGTTGGGTCCTGGCTGAACTGTGCCACTTTCAATAGGAAAACGCTGCAGCCCCCGAGGTCGGCTTGACATAGCTTGTGCTTTGTGCTGATGGGTCCAGGGTGTGTCTATACCAGTGAAACCTGCAGCGGGCCCTCGCCGCATACTTGCTCCCAGGGCTCAAGCCAAGGGACTGCTTGGTGTAGGCATTTGTCTGCCTGGAGACCAGGCCCTGGACCCTGCAAGGAGGAGGTCTGGTTGCAGCCCAAGCCCGAATGTCTACACCACAGTGCAACAGCCCTGTGAGCCCGCGTCAGCTGGCACAGGCCAGCCGTGCTGTCTGATTGCGGCATAGACCTGTCTTAAGCCTCTAGTCTCTTCGCCAGTCAGACCGTGGCAGGTTTGTCACGCAAGGGAGCAGTACGGTCTGTGTGGCTGGTCGGGAGCGGAGGGCATTTGCCTCTCAGCGGGAATTACCGTTCAATGGCCTTTCTCTCTGGGTTCCAGCTCTGGAAGAGGAGCGGCCCGAGTGCTTCCCCTCTCTCCAGTCCGGCATCTTCCCGCTCTCAGACACCAGAGAGGCCCAGCAAGAAAGCCAGGTAAGCAAACTGCTTCCAGTTCAGTGCCGCTCGCCTGCGTTGCTGATTCAGCATACGTAGACGCTGGGGAGATAGCTCCAGCAGTAGCCTGTGTGCAGGCTCCGGTCTCTGGATGGGAAGGGTGATGCACGTCCAGTGGGGCTGCCAAGGCTCTTCTCTCTCCCTGAGCCTCAAGCTCTGTGTAATCTGCCCATCGTGGGATGCTCCAGCCATCTCGAGTCCCCAGCAGTCTGGCTAAATCCGCTCTCCCTTGTCTTCCTGCTCCCAGCCTGGTGCAGGCGAAGGCAGCATTGCCCCTGCTCTGTCCGTCAGCGCCCTGCCTCTCCTGCGGCCGACACGAGTTCAGATGTTGCATGCACCCTGCTGCTTTTGGCCATTTCCTTGGCCGGATCGGTCACATGGTGCCATTTCGTTAACCACTTCTCACTGCTGCTCTAAGCCCCATCATCACACCTGTCCATGCAGAGGTGCCTCTCCGTTACCAGCCTCCTGCCTTGGTGCTTCGGCCCTCCCGGCGAGGTGTGCGTCTGCAGTTTGCACGGGTGGCCCATCAGTCAGAAAAATGTTGACAGGCCATGTTCCCAGACCATTCCCGCGGAGTGTTTGGGTCTAAAGCAAAGGGACTCTCAGGCCCGCAGGCAATGGGCCCCTCGGGGCCGTTCTGAGGTTAGCTTTGCCTCTGCCAAGTGCTGGAGGGTCTGTGTGCAGTTCTCCCTTTGCTGACCCAGGTGAGGCGCATGAACGCTCAGGCAGCGTGAGGCTGTTTGCGCTAGAGGCGGGGCTGTGGCCGAGGCGCGGGTCTTACCACCGATGTCAATTTTGCTGGTAGCTTTCAAGATTCTCACTCTTGACTCTCCTGGAATTGTCCTGTCCCTCCGAGAAGAGGTGAGTCGCTTTGGACTGGGCCTAACAGGCTTTCTCCTGTCTCTGCAGGGAGGGGGATCTTCACTGGTCCAGCACATCTACCCCTGTAAAATCTGACAAGGAGCTGCAGACAGAAAAGGGTGAGTGGGCACGGAGTCTCGCTTGCAGAGCCACCGGGGCGCCTGCTTGGGTGGGCCTTGTGAAGGAAAGGCTGCTGGAGAGTAAGTAGGGATGGGGAGGTGTCTCGCCAAGGTCCACGCTGGGGATGTTAAGGACTAGTCGACTATCCGATAACCAAATGCTTATCAGATAGGTGACAGGATAGTCGACTAGTCGCTTCTCCCCCCCACCCCCCGCGTCTGTCTGAAAGAGGCAGCAAGGGCGGGGGGAAGAGGGGGATACTTCAAAGCAGCAATGCCGCACGGAGCCCAGCGTCTCAGTGCAGTGCTGCCGCTTTGACATGCCACCTTGGCGAGCCGGGGATCAGCTGGGGACTCCCCAGCTGCCCCTGGACTCCACATGGCACTGCCCCTTCGAAACACCGCAGCGGCGTTTCAAAGGGGCAGCGCCGCCCTCTCAACTAATCAAATAGTTGATGCAAAAATGCGCCGACTATTCGATTAGTCAGCTACGTGCTACTTAACATCCTTTGTCTGCACTGAGTAATGGTAGGCCCTTGCCAGTTCCCCTGTCCGGCTTCCCCGGGCTGAACGGGCGATATGAACTAGAGCAAGGCCCCTTTGCGGCATGGGGAGTGGAGCCATTCGCACGGCGCTTCCCGAATGGGCTCTTCAGCGGGACAGAGCCAAGGTCCCTGCTGCCTGGGCATCTTTGCACAAGCTGCCACCTCTGTGCAGGAAACCCTGGGGCCTGTCCCCCGCTTGGCCCACTGTCTGGTTCTGCTCCGGGGTGTGGCCCCTCCTCCCCCCGACAGGAAGTGAAGGCGCCGGTAAGCAAGTTCCTGAGGCAGGGGGTGCACAGTGACCCCGCCTCCCGCGGGAGCCTAGTGCGAGCTGCTCCTCTCATTCCAGCTGTGGAGACCCCTGCGCGGAAGAAGCAGAGTTCCTTGTCCTCGCCGTCCCCATCAGGGAGCAGCGGGAAACGCAAGCGGAAGATCCAGCTGCTTTCTTCTCGCCGAGGGGACCAGCTTACCCTGGTGCGTGGCCTCTGCGGAGCTCCGCCTGGGGGCCTCGGCCGTGCTGCGGGTCCTCCTGGCCCAGCTGCCTAGGGTGGGCGCACCTGCCCCTTTGTGGGATGGGAGTGAAGCCCCGCCCAGCTCCTGGTGTCTGAGGAGCTGCCCACAATGCTCTGGCCTCGTGCGCCCCCAGGCCGTGGGCCAAACGGGAGCAGGGATTTGAGTGGCAGGCTCTGGCTCTGGGGCCTGGGGGCCTCGGCCGTGCTGCGGGTCCTCCTGGCCCAGCTGCCTAGGGTGGGCGCACCTGCCCCTTTGTGGGATGGGAGTGAAGCCCCGCCCAGCTCCTGGTGTCTGAGGAGCTGCCCACAATGCTCTGGCCTCGTGCGCCCCCAGGCCGTGGGCCAAACGGGAGCAGGGATTTGAGTGGCAGGCTCTGGCTCTGGGGCTCTGCAGAGGAAAAGAAGGCAGCGCTGCAGTGGTTCAACAAGGTGTTGGAGGAGAAGACAGGTAGGGGCTCCGCGTGGCCTCCCCTGTTCTGGAGGGGCGGCTGCTGGGTACTTGCTGTGAGCTGGAACCTGGAGCAGACACACAAGCCAGAAGAGACCATCGTGCTTAAGGACACGAGTCGGTGGGTTTTACGCCCTGAGGGGGCGCGGCGCAGGGCAGGACGTGGCGTGAGCTCTGCCCTGGGCGTCTGAATTATTGCTTATTGACCACGTCCTGCCTGTGACTTTCACCCTGACGCACTTGCAACCGTCATTAGTCGTCTGGTGTCACCTGCGTCACTCAGGCCGCAGAGCAGCACCATGCGAGTTGTCATGCCCAGGAAGGCTGCCTTTCCCGGGGCCAGCGAGCTCTGCCTCTCCAGAGCCCGGGGAGAGCTCCAGACATGACCCCACCCCCAGACCTGGGACTCTCCCCACATGCATCCTCTGGATTGTGGACGGGGCTGAAGCTCTCAGACCCGTTCAGGAGTGTGGGTGGGCTGCTAACGTCGCTGCCCCGCACGCTGGGAGGCCGTGCTAAGAGCAACATGCTCTTCTCTAGAGAGCGCTAAGCGGGTGGGTTTTTCCTGCTCCCCAGCAGTAGATGCCACCCCAAGCCCTGCTGCAGAACCCACCGCTGGAGCCAGGCCTCTGCCGCTCACCATGCCGTCTTCTGGGCCCACTGCTGTGGCATCGGCCTCCATGGTCGCCGGCCCTGGCTCCCTGCTGGAGAGCCTGGCGAAGATGCAGAGCAGCCAGAGCACGCTCGTGCCTGCAGGTTAGTGACCCAGCTGGAGCGAGGAGGGACAGGGAGACATGGCCTCCGGTCACTGGCCAGTCCAAGCTTGGCAGGGCCTGTCCCTGGGGTAGTAGAGCTAAGGCCAAGGCCTGAACTAAAGTAGTAGCCAAGCTTTGCAATACAAACAAAGTGAGAAGTCGGGCTCTGCCTGCTGGCCAGCTCCGAGCCTGGCACAGCCAGGGTGCCGTTGCAGAAGCCACACGCCGGGGTGCGAGCGTTCCAGGAGGCCGGGATCAGGACCCCTCGGCCCATTCCCCCGCAGGTAACGTCCCAGCCTGCCTGCGGATAAGGGCCGGGTGGCAGCACAATGAGCTGAAGGTGTTTGCTCAGCCAGAGGGGCGGCTTGTGCCGTCCGGGGCGCCGTGTCTGGCCAGCCGAGGCGGAACCGAAACGTCCTGCCGCGGGCTGGATGCGCTAGTATGGCAGTGGGCCTTGATCTGGGGGCTAGGACCGGGCTTTGCTGACGGTGAGTCTGGCTGGGCGCACTCGTGCTCTTGTGGCTGGTGGGCGGCTGGCCGGAGCACTCCTGTCTGCAGAACCGGGGCGGTGCCAGGGACCGCACATGGCCAGACACCTAACGTGACCACAGCTGACTGCAGGAAATCCCTCAGGCCTCCGCCACATGGTCCTGGGGATGCCAGGAGGGCTCTAGCTTGGTGGCTCGTCTTGGCTCTGCCTGGGGCTGGGTTTTGCTCCAGGTAAGGCCTGGGGGCAGCTTGAGCCTCCTCCCCCAGCCCAGCTCATCGACTTGGCCACACCAAGTTCCTCTGCAAACGATTTTCCCTCTTCCACAGATCCGGCTGGGGCTGCAGTGACATCTCCGCTGCCTCTGCCGACCTCCCCCGGCGTGTTGGGATCAGGGCCCCTGCCCACTGCTGGATCGGACTCCAAGCCTGCGCCGGCGCTGAACTTCCCTGCTCCCTCCGCTGCTGCTCAGCCCCTTGGCGGTGCGAGCAGCCTGCCGACTCCTGCGTCCTGTGAGCTGGGCCAGACCCCCAGCAAGCCACCCTCCCCCCCGAAGCCCAGCGTTCTCTTTGGGGCGCTGAGCGCCCCGCCTGCCAGCCAGCCAGGGCCTGCAGCCGCATCCGCCGCCCCCCTGTTCAAACCGATCTTCGGTGCCCCGCCGAAGAGCGAAAGCGGGACGAGCTCTGCAAGCGGCAGCTCCACGGCAGGCGCAGTGTCTGCTGGCCCAGCGCCTGCCTCAACTGCTCCGTCCGCTGCTGCCAGCACCACGTTCAAGCCTGTCTTTGGGAACCTAGCCGCGCCCGCGGCCCCTTTGGCAACAGCTGCTCCCTTCACATTCAAGCAGGCATCTCAGCCAGCGCCAGCCACTGATCCGACAGCATCTTCCGCTACGGACACCCCCTCCGTCTTCGCCGGCCTTCCCAGCACCCTGAGCGCCGCTGGCTCGGGCACAAAGCCCGCCTTCAGCTTTGGCTTCGGCGTGCCGCTTGCTGCCAGCACACCCAGCAGCACGACAGCCACTGCTTCCACCTCCGCCGGCACCGCCCAGCTCTTCCTGTTCGCAGCCCTTCCAAACCCAGGCCCCAGCCCCGCAGCAAGCCTCACGCCCGCTGCTCCTGCCTTCCAGTTCGGTAAGCCCGCCCCCGGCGCCGCTGCCGCCCCCGCCCCCGCCGCTCCAGCAGGCTCCACCTTCGGCACAGCGCACCTGAGCGCCGCACAGGCTGCTCCCAGCACCACCACCGGCTTCAGTCTCTTTGGGAGCACAAATCTGACCTCTTCTACCCCACCGAGCACCAGTCAGGCAACGCTGGCCTTTGGGGCCTTTGGAGCGAAGGCAAAACCGCCCCCTCCATACCCCGGGGTAGCTGCCCAGCCTGTGTTTGCCCCTGGCACCCCGGAGAGCCAGCAGCCCACCAGCAAACCGGCCGCTGGCCCAGCGAGCTTTAGTACCCCTGCATTTGGTTTTGGGGCCTCTGTAGCCCAGTCTGCAGCACAGCCGGCCTTTGGGAACAGCTCCCAGCCAGGTTTCGGGGGGACCAATAGCCAGGGTTCCTTTGGGCCCACCAGCGCCCAGCCAGCGTTTGGAGGCACGACGGCCGTCTTCTCCTTTGGAACAGCAACCACTTCAACCACCGCAAGCTTTGGCTCCAACCCCCAGCCCACCAAGAGCAGCACCGGCAGCTTGGTGTTCGGGGGGCCCTCCCTCTCTCCGTTCACCTTTGGGGCGCCCTCCCAGCAGAGCCCAGGAGCTAGTGCCTTTGGCATCCCGACGCCCGCCCTGAGCGGGGCCGCTCCCGCCGCTCCCTTCGGTTTTGGGGCTGGACAGAACAGCTCGGCAAGCACGGCAGCCCCCTTCGGCTCTTCCTTGACACAGGCCTCGGGCGTCCAGAGCGCCCCGTTCGCCTTCACTGTGCCTGGCCCTGCCGACAGCAAGCCTGCCTTTGGAGGTAAGGTCCTGACTCGGGCGGGGGCGGGATGCTCAGCCCTGCGTGGGGGTCCTGATGCCCCCTCTGCCGGGGCCAGTCCTGGGCCACGAGAACCCTAGAGGGCTCCAACGAGCCTCTGCATAGCCCAGTGTCCCTGGACAGGGATCACTCCAGCGCCCAGTCGCGGGTCTGAGGGCTGCTGCTCTGCTGGGTGCGCTCCAGTAGCCCGAGCTGTACACGGGCCCGTGTCCCAGGCAGCAAGGCCTCACCGGGCTGACTCATCCGCTCCGTCCCCCGGGCTCAGGGCGTGCACAGGGGCCAGGAAATGGGAAGGGGAGGCTAGAAACCTGGGGCTTGGAGGACTGCCCTCGCCTCTGTCTGCTGGGAAGCCAGGTGGGGCTGTTCCAGCCCTTCCGGAGGGATCTGTTCTCACCTTCCTCCCCCGGCTGAGCTGTGACCCTGAGAGCAGGAGCTTCCCCTAGGTGCAGGGTCCCATCCTGCTGCTCTAACCCCGGCTGACAGGTGTGTGGCTTCCAGGAACTCCCACGCCCGCCTTCGGGCAGAGCACGCCGGCCCCAGGAGCAGGGCCTGGCGGGGGCACCGGCACTCCTGGACCGGGCTTCGGAGGAGCAAGGCCTCCATTTGGTAAGAGACTTTCTTCAGGGCTTCCTCTTCCCCACGGCTGGGCTGCAGCTCGGGCTCTGCCTTCAGAGAGGCTCCCGTCTGTGGGCCAGTCCTGGAGGACACCCCTGCCCGCCTGCTCCCTCGCACAGTGGGGGGGGGTGGCAGAACGTCTGGGTGGTTGGGGAAGGGGAGCAGGCCTCGGGAGCGCTGGCGTGCACTCGGTGCGCAGCCGCCTACAGTGGGGGGTGTCTCCTCCCTCCCTGCGCTGTAGGTTCGTGCCGTCTGGCAGTGGCCGTGGCTCATCCAGTCTCTCTTGCCTCTAGGACCGTCAGCACCTGCGTTTTCTATCGGGGCAGGATCCAAGAGTGGGCCCCGGCAGCGGCTGCAGGCACGAAGGCAGCACCCCCGCAAAAAGTAGCTCTTGGGTCCTCTGCGGACTTGAATTCTGGCCCAGCCACAGGAGCCAAGGCTACAGCGTGGAAAGGAACCTTTCGGCAGGGCAGGTCCTCCCAAGAGCTGGCCCCTTGGGTTGGAGACCGTCGGGTGCCGGGATACCCAAGCCCTTCATACTTGAACAGCACCACAGCGGAGAGGATGTTCTCTGTACATAGCAGCAGCTTCCTTTCCTCACGTGTGCTCCAGGGCTCGTGTGTAACATTCTCCCATTGCCGCCTCAGTGGCTCACGTGCCCCCTCCCCGCCACGGCCTGTGTGGGGGGCGTGGGAGCTGGCCGGGGCCAGCCTGTGCGCATCTTCCCTGTCTGCCCCAACAGCAGCTCCTGCTCTGCTTCTGCCCCTGCTGAGTCCCTGGGGAGCCCCTTTCACCTGCCTGGGGGCATCTGTGCTGGCTCCAGGGGCACAGTGACCTTGGGGGAGCCGTGCCAGCGCTGGCCCAGGCTCTGTGCATTGGAGAGTAACTCTTGGGCGCCAGGCAGACTCCTGCCGTGCAGCTAGTGACAGGCTGGGAGCTCCCAGGCAGACCAGAGCTGCCTGTTGCTGGGGAACCTCCCATCTGCCCCCAGGAGGGTGGTGCCTTTGGGGCGTTCTGCCAGGCCGTGATGAGCAGAGCCCCTGCCCTGTTGCGTTCCTTCCCTTGCGTTTTCTCCTGCGCCTGGCTCCGCTCTGCCTGTTGGGGGTTCGCTCATTGAATCGAGTTTGGAGGAAGCTCTGGCCCGTGTGAGTGGCGGCATGTTGGCAATGCTGGATTTGCCTGCCTGCTGCCAGTAGCCCCCTTGTGTGGCTGCTCGTGCTGAGTGATGGGGTGACTGTGAGAACGGCTGGCGGGGGGGCCACAGGGGCTGGATGGTGTTTCTAGGTCCCATTCTGGCAGCTTCTTCACTTTCATGCCCTGCTCCAAGTCGGGCTTCTCTCCCCTGCCTGCCCATGAGCTTGTTCCACCCTGCAACCTCGCCTCCTTTTGGCACCATCCCCCGCATGCACGCTGCTTCCTGCCCCCTTTCACAGCTGTCTAGCTGCTCCTCCCTTGTCCGCTCCCAGGGGCCCACTGTGGGGCGCCTTTTGGGGTTGTCTCTTGCCAGGGAGTCCCTGCGGTGCTCACTGGGAGGATGGCTTGTGCCTCTTCGGGAGAGGGGGTGATGCCCTAACGGCCCAGGCCTGTGCCCCCTCCTCCCCACATTCCAAGAGTGGTCCCAGCTGCCAGATCTTTTTACTATTCAGAAGTGTGAGTGTGTCTGCAGACCCCTAAATTAACAGATATTTAAACATTTTTTTAAGAGAATAAAAATTTATTTTTATATTTAAGCTAAATTGCCTTTGAATTCCTTCAAGCTTGGTTCCCTGAGGGGGCCAACACTTCAAAGCTGTCGAGTAGGATTTAGTTCCTTCTGGGGAGGAGAAAGCGGCCGCAGGCAGCTCTCTGACCCGGTCCTGGGGGCATTCTCCTCTCCAGACAGCTCGATGTTACATGAAACGTATGGAACTTCATTGTGCGGTGAATGTGGATGTGACTAAACTGTCAGTTTTGCTTGAGACTGAGGCTCAGCTCCCACCCTCGGGGGAGCTGGGTGTTGTGGGGTTTTTCTACCAGGAACAATGAGTCTCTCGCCTGGGGAGGCAGGACTTGGGCGGAAAGTCTCTGGGCTTAGCCCCTGGGAAGTGGCTTCCTTTACAGTGTACGGTCCCCCCTGCCTTTGCTGGGCTGTAGCGGCCGGGTGCCGAGGGTACCACTGCTGTGGCTAAGCTCCACGAAGGGTCCTGTGCTGCCACTAGCATTGGCCCTTGTGAACAGTTTGGCTGACGGCACAGGAATGTACCTGGGGTTTGAAAAGTCAGGCAAAGGGGCTTTGCTCTTCTGCGCTGCCTGCAGACCCTGCCTGAGTTGGGTGCTGTGCTCAGAGGGGCTGGAGTTTCCCAAATCCACTGTGAACTGGAGCAGTTTGTGGCTCTTGGGGGCGTCAGCCTTTGAGCAAGTCTTTGCTCGCTGGCCTAGCTTTTCCTAGCCAGAAGAGAGCAGGCAGGGGTGGGATTAGCTGCTGGCAGGCCTGCTCAGATAGGACTGTATTCCTGAGGGACCTGGCTGGGTTCACTCAGTTAACTGGAGCAGCTTCAGGTTATCTCCTCTGCCAGCACATTGTGCCCAACCTGCCCTGTACCCTGGCAGTGGCATGGAGCGTGCTGCCAGGCTAACCGGTTGTGTGGTGGGATGAGCAGAGCCCAGGGCAGGGCTGGCCTGTTTCTAAGACTAGTGCAGTGCACCCTGGAACAACCACGTTCAGAATCTGCCGCTCTGCCTGAAGGTGGCTTCTGTGAAAAAACCAGCATGGAAGGAAGAGGGTGGGAGGTTGAGCCAGCCTGGAGCATTGCCCTGGCCTCGTGCACGGGGAGTTGGGGTTGGTAACTGGCCCTTTCCCTAGGCCTGAGTCATCCCCTCCCATTCCCTGCAGAGACTAGAACCTACCAAAGGCCCAGGCTACTGCTCTAAAGGAGCCCACCTGCCTCTTGCACAGAGACCTTCCGCTGCCCTGTCCCCTGCCACAGGCTGGGACCCGGGAGTGGCTGCGGTACATGAAGGGGGGAGGGGTGCACTGGA